GAAGGATGGAAAAGTCCGAGGAACACCACTATAGCTCCTGAGCTTTGACCCTCCCCACGACGAAAAGTTCCGCAGAATTTCATTCAATTTCGGCCAGAATCTCGCGCCGCCCAAGCAGCACCAGAAATTCATTTTACGGGACACGGCGAGCCGAGAAAACACAGGCGGAGCCGCGAGAAAATAAAAAGAAAAGCCGACATTTGAAGGGTGAAGGGGCCATTTGTGGAAAGGGGTTGTCGGCTAGTCTGGCCACACCACACCAAAAGGGCCATCGATCGGCGGATGGATGCCCATTCGAATGGCTATCCAAAAGCAGGGGGGATGGATACCCAGCCGCGCGACTTGCTCACTTGAGCTTCTGCCCCTCCACGCTAACGCACTTTCGGGAGTTGATTGTTGCAGAGGAGGGATTTTGTCTGGGCCAGCAAATTTCAAGAAATAGGAAAGAATAAGAATAATGAAGAATCAAAGAAAATGCTCTTTCTGATAGTGCGAGTTCCAAATTTTCGAAAAATTGCGTAAGGCCATCCCTGCAAAAAATTATGCTATTTCTTAGCCGGCTTCGAATATCAGTATGTTAGTAAAAGTTAAATTATTAGAATTGAGCCTCTATGAATAAACAAAGCGTAACAATAAAAAATAAATCAAAGCCAAGGCAGGTGGCTAAAACAGCCACTTCTACGCAAATAAAAAAGCTTTTCACACCATTGAGGAAATGGAAAGCGGCAAGACGTTAACAAATACTTTTAAAATTATTATAGACTATTTATATGCCGAGGTTTTTGTTCGACATCAAATTTTTTCAATATCAAAAATTTTAACAGTTCAATTCAAATTTCATTTAAAATTGTAATTTCCACAGCTACCACTTTCAAAATCTTCTCACTAAAGGCACATAAAAAGTTCAAATAAACCTAAGTAGTTTTAGTTAACATAAAGAACCAGTTAGATAAAAGAAAGCATTATGGTTTAAAGACATTGCGCAAGGTGGGCACCTCGCAGAACAGCTGCTTCTCCCCAAACAAAGAGGCATTTTCCCGCTTTTTTGCACAGGATCCGATGGAATAAACAAGCTAAAAAACAACCAAGAATACCCCAAAAAAATCTTACTGCATCCATTTCTCTATCTAAACTTTCCAAAAACGTTGGCCTTCCCAAGCAGCAAATCTACAATACAAAATTAGGCTTTTCCATTGTCAAGGAAATCCAGCCTTTCCTAGTGAAATTCGAGCTGGAACAGCGAAACAGGCGTTGGTGGCTTCGTTTTCCAGGGTTAGGAAGTAAAACTATACTCGAATTTAGGCACCCAGCCTTACAGAAAAGTTTTGTAGCTGCAGCGCCTAGCCCAAAGTTAAACCAAAGAAGCTCAAACGTGCAGAAAAGCTGAAAAATAAAAAAGCGTAGATCGGCGCAAGTAAATCGATCAAAAAATTTTTAGACAACGCCAAAAATTGAAGGCCCATTTCCAATCTAACCCTCGTGAAGGCGACATTTTCCGGGCAATATTGGGCCTGGATGAGCCCGGAGGGCGGTCGTTTCACACGTTTTCGGGCGGAGTGTCGCCACTGTGAGTGTAACGCCCGGGAGACAGGACGGCTGACGCTCGGTGATGCGACCCGGACAAGCCGGAAGAGAGGGGAAGCCGAGGCCTTTTTTCTTGGCAGTTTTTTTATTGAAAAGAAGAAAGTGCAAAGAGTGCTGGTCGAAATGCGGAAGGAATTTGGTGAGAACGGCGGTTCGGGAGGGCCAATATTGGGTCATACGGGTGAAATTAGTATTTTCGGCTTCCGCATTAGTTTCATTTTTATTTTCTCCAAAGTTTGCGCATAGTGCGTATAATTTGCGCATAATCTGCGTATATATTTTCCGTGTAATTCCAGATAATTTGCGTTCCAATTTTAGGAAAGAGAAATATCTAGACAAATTCGCCACCTTTTCCAGGAGAACCTAATAAATGAAAGATTAGAATAAGAATAACAGATGTTAACAGAAAGAAGGCAAAATAACAATTCAAAAATGCTATTAAAACGCAAAATGAGCTGAAGTTAGATTATTGCGTAAGAATACTTAAAAACCACATTTCCCGCAAAAAAAACGCAGACAACGACAATGCCGCGAAAAATTGGACTCGTCCAGCCCGTGTTTAAACAATTTCGCAAAAAAATTATGGTTTCCAAAACGCGCGAAATTACCTGAAAAACGCTAAACGCCGCCGATTTTCGTTAGGCAATAATTGTTCAAGGAACACTGGCCTGCATTCCAGCCTCTAAAAAGGAAAACAAATATACGATGGTGGCCGGGGATCGATATCGGGGCTAGAAAAGCCGGGGCGAGAAGCCGAACAGTGTAAATTGTCACTATCATCTCCATCTGCTTTTTTCGGCCATGAAAGCATAACACATCGAGTCGGGGGTGAAGCCACCGTCCGACGAAAGGAAAACATAAAAATTTGCAGGAATTGGCTGTCTGGAGGGTTCGGGGGGCAAAGAGCGCATCCCGTAAACAATGAGAGGCTAGTCAATTACACCTCCATTCACGGTTTTCTATGGAGAATTTGTCGCTCTTTCTCCATGTCTCGTGCTCTCTGCCTCTCTCACTCTCTCCCGATCTCACTATCCCTCTCGCTCTCACTCTAACTCTCTCTCACTCCCACTCTCTGGTGCTCTCACGCTTTCACGCTCTCTCTCTAACTCTCTCTCCCACTCTCTCTCCTCTTTCTCTCGCTCTCTCTCTCTCTCTCTCTCTCTCTCTCTCTCTGTCGCTCTCTATCGATAGAAATGCTTTCAGAGTTTATTCAAAACCTGTATATTCGATTTTTTAGCGAAATGACGACATCGTTGCTGTCGATAATTTTGCGACCGGCCGTACTTTGCAGTTTGCGCCTTTCTGATCGTATAATCTTAATTAAATGACTTGAGTTCGTGCTCTACCTTCAGTCTCCCGAGTCCCAGCCATTTCAACAGCTCCTTGCTGGCCTTCTTATAGGGTGCCACATAATACAGTGACAGCATCGGGGCGAGTAACGGGATCCAGGCCACCGACTACAAATGGCATTTTAAAGATATTTTAACGCGCAAAAAAAAACAGTTTATAAAAACACCTAAAAGCTATTACCTGAAAAACCATAAACTCTAAAATAGGATGGTGATAAATCCCGAGTTGCTCGACTGCGTAGCAGCCTACCGATATTGAGAAGAAGAATGGAAGAGCCGCTTGAAAGGTTAAAGCCTATACATTTTTAGACATTTCCGTAAGCTTCGTATACCTTGACAAGCTTCAAATGCGTCTGCCTGGTTCGCTCGCTCATCACTACTTTGGCTGGGACCTACCAAAAGGTAGTTTTCACGTCAAAATTCCGCAGCTTTAAAATTTAAATGAAACTTGAAATTCAAGAACCTACAGCAAATATGTTACGCCTTGTAATTAATATCATCACATAGATCGGGCCACACGGCAGTGTCGTAGAAAACAGTGAATAGGCACGAAAAAGTGAAGATAGACTGATGGCCGCTGACTGTTAGACCTAAAAGTTCCGTTTTTAACTGCAATTTTAAATATTAACATTTAATAATGTCAATACACGATTGTATATATAATATACTATATTAATAAAATTAAAAAGCCTGTTTTTTGCTCACCAGTCACGTCATAAAGCGGATAATTTGCGGCTAACAAACTTCGAGCCAGCTCGGGCGGATCAACGGCAAAAAGGAAGGAGGTCTAAAATTTTGCTATGTAATATTTCTTTATCTACACTTTGTAACTCTAAATTTTTATGGCCTGAAATTTATTTAAATTTGAAATTTACCATTTGAAAAAGTGAGGGGCTATAGACGATTAGGGTATAGAAAATGACCATTCTGAAGGTTGGGGTGGGCTAAAAATAAAAAAATTTATCGATTTTCCATTAAAAACCTACGTTTTTCAAAATATATAACCTATAGTAAAACGACAGTAAAATTGAATTTAACGAATGTGCATAACAGTGAAGTTGTATACTGTACCCAACGTAGCATGCAAAGGGGTTAAGTATGGCAGAGGCCGTAGGAGATGTAGGAACAGTTGGAATTTGTAGGGGATGATTCTGAAATAGCTGTAAATTAATTTTTCATCCCTTCAACGCTGTCAACTCCGCGAGATTGGTTCCATTCATTTCGCTAATTTTCATTTCGCATACCGCCATTTCGCTTAATTGCATTTCGCATAATTTTTATTCCGCATAGCGGTGCTTTCACATAACCTTATCTCTTATAACCTATTTCGCATAACGGTGATGTCGCCTCACCGTGATTTTGCATAACGATCATTTCGCATAATTTTCATTTCAGCTAACGACCATTTCGCATAATTTTTATGTCGCCTAACCGTGATTTCGCTTAATTTTCGCCATTGGCAGCCGATGGTCTCTATAACTCTGGCTTAGTAATCGGCAATCGATGAAAAACAATCTACTGACGCGGTTTTTTGCGCTCTTCCGTGCAGATATCCCAAGCTTGCTCAAAATCCATGACCCATCGGGTGTACGTCTGTTTTGAGGGGCTTGACCAAAAATCCTACGTTGTAGATAGTGTCCATGTGTAAACTAGCAGATCTGACCGCAAGACTAGGTCAAAAGCATTACATTGATTACAGATGCGGAATCCGCGTAAATGGTAGCTAGTCATTTCGATTGTCTTATACCGTGACTGCACTTCATATCATCAAAAACGCCCTGTTTTGCTCTTGGTTGCCACTAACTAAAAAATATGCGAAATAAACGTTATGCGAGATCATCGCTAGGTGAAATGAAAATTATGCGAAATGATCGTTATGCGAAATCACGGTTCGGTGAAATGACCGTTATGCGAAATCGCCGTTAGGCGAAATAAGCGTTATGCGAAATCATCGTTATGCGAAATCGCCGTTATACGGAATAACAATTATGCGAAATGCAATTATGCGAAATAGCGCTATGCGAAATGGTAATTATGCAAGATGAAGAAATACCGCGAAATTGATACCTTTGCATCACAAAATACCCTACGAAACAGGCCACACCATCCGTGAAGGCCAAGTTGAAGAGTAGCACCGCGTAGGGGCGTAGACCTTCTGGCGTCTAAATTATGGTATCAAATCGAATTTAAGTGTTTTTTTTGGCATAATATGGATTTCCTCACAACCTAACAACACCCACCTTTCTAACGATACATATCATTAGCCACAAATTCGTCAGGATCCCGAATAAGTTTATCGTAAAATGAAAAAACTCGCTGATACGCTCGATCATGACCGTTGTGTCGTACGTCATCTATCAAGTTTTGTAATTATTGATTGTCTAAAGACGTAAAGAAAATCTCGGGACGAGAGAGAGAGAGAGCGAGAGACAGCAAGAGAGAGGGAGAATGAAGGGCGATAGGAGAGAGAGAAAGTGGAGTGAATCCATCAGAAATTCGTAGCCTCGTCCCTTTAATAAATATTGCTCAAACGAATGACGATAACTATAACAAAATTCCGGTTTTTAGTTTAGAAGTCACTTGAAGACGTCGGCCCGATCCTTGTAACGCCGCGGCTAGGTGAGCTACGCTACGAGCTATGATCGGTAATTCTTCCCACCAAATTACTTTCGAGAATCTATGAATCGCTGCTGGAAAAAGAATTATGGTATACTAGTTGAGCGTGGCACAAACTTGCAAATGAATCCTCGCGCAAGTCTCGCATTAATATGAGAGCGGTTCGCACGGCGCGACTTCCTTGGAGCCGTGATATATGGAGGCCATTTATTTGTATCTCGGCGTGAATCATGGACGACGGGACATTGTGGCCATTTTCCGGGGTCCCGCCCGCTCTCAAGGGACTTCCTGATACGGTCCAACTACGTTCCATTGTCTTCAAGTGGTGGTTGTTATGAAAAATAATATTTGGTGAATTTTGAAAGGGTAGAGCCAAGCACTTTGCGTGTCGAATATCTTTGTAAATTTCAAAAAATTTATCTAGAAAGATTTTATCGAGGCGACGACTTCCGCTAAAAAAATTAGAACTAAACTTTTCTAATGAAAATCCACGCGATAAATATTTTTTTCGAATAGTGAACACTGAGCTCACAGATACTGTGAGGGGTAATTCACACATTACAAGTGTTGCGTCACGTGCCTCACATGTTCAAAACACCAAAAAAAAACTTTTATTTCTCAACAGAGCGAATTTTGGTCTCGTGATCGGATCCTTGGAAGCTCAGGATGAGGCTTGACGGAATCGGCTCTGGCCCGGGGAGGACTTCGGCTAAATCCGGGTTTATTTTTGGATTTATCACAACGGTCACGACCGCTCTCCCTCTCTCTATCTCTCTCTCTCTCTCTCTCTCTCCTCTCTCTCCCGGCAAACCAGATCCCCAGCTGACAAAGATAATTCCGCCGATACTCAATGGACGATGGCACAACACGTAAAAAGTATTGGCCATTTGTGGGCAGTTGCTAAAATTCTACGTCATCATTATAGAAGTAAGAATTATACCAAATAATTGATTAGCGATAGCAACAATGGCCCTCCCTACTTCTAAGCGTCCTGGGATCGCATCAACATCAAAATTCGCTATACATTCCAAATTACTAAATGACGATAGGGTTCCCGTATATTTTGGAGCTATCGATAGTAACGAGGTGAAATAGCCAGGCACCATGCAAAGAGAAAGTGAGGCCCTAAAGTCGTGGTAAGCTCTACGGTCGGCGAATTATACCGTAACCCATCAGGAGCGGGATCACTTGCAGGGGGGGCCGGGTTTCACCAAGAGGTATAATGCCGAGGAGGATAACGAAAGGTCCCCCCGGCCAAATGAGCCTAGAAATCGTCTTGAAATACAGCTCACACGCTACAACGGTAGCTTAAAATTTGAATTCCAAAAATAACAACAAAACCATTGACAATCAAGAAAACAATATCAATTAACTCTTTTAATCCCCTGGAATCTCCTCCCCAACTTTGTTCGGACTATGCCCGCGCCGCTGCAAATAATCCGACAGTGGAGGCTCATCGTATTTTTTGCAGAAGAGCTGAGAGCAGAAGGGTACCATCGTATATACACCGTTCTTCAAAAAATGTGTTGACTTTGAAAGCTTAAGAATACCAAGTGTATCCGACAACCCAACACTTCCATTAGATACGCTAGGTAGGAAAAGACTGCCCATCATTGTTTGAGATAAAATTGCGATGATAGAGAGCATATCACATTTACGGCTAGGACTTCCTTCGAGAATAATAACTTCTTCCACGGCATTTTAGCGTTCTTCTGAAAATCCTAGTTTAGAGAGAGAGAGAGAGAGAGAGAGAGGCGGGAGAGAAAAAGAGCAGGGCGAGAGGGAGAGGGAACAGGGAGGCGAGAGAGAGAAAAAGGAAAGAAAGCGATAAGAAAGTGGGAGAGAGAGAGACCCGAGAAGAGAGAGAGAGGAGAGGGAGAGAGAGGCAGAAAGAGATACAGAAAAAGAAAGCGAAAGAGAGAATGAGCTAGAGATACCCTCACCGCCAATTTTGCGTTATTCCCAACATGCAGCTCCAAGAACTTCTTCTCCCGCTCGGAGACGAACTTGTTCTTGGAGGGAGAATTGGTGACAAAAATTAGTCCCAGGATCACCCAAACAAGACCCGCGGTCGCTAAAATTGGCTATAAAAACGACTGCTAGGTCAGTGCAAACCGAAAAAGTAGAAAATAGACGGCCACCCCACGCTGGTCGTACATAGAAATGCACTAATGGGGGCAGAAAATGCTGAGGATATCTAGAATTCAGGGTTTTAAGGGCATAGGCGAAGCTTACCTGAATTCCGGATGTATAGATCGCTGCCATCGTTGATTTTTCGGTAGGTGGGAACCATTTGGCTGCCAAGGAGTTGAGACATGGAAAGACAGCACCCTAAAAAAGCTTGACAGTAATAACAGTGGCCAGAAACCGCAATTTGACAATAGAAAATATTCGGAAAGCATCGTTAAAGTATGATGCTTACCTCAGCCAATCCCATTACCAGCCTCGTCCCGAAGAATGCCCAATATGAGTGACTAGCCAGCGATGGGGCTAGATAGCTCATGATCAGGAAATCAAGAGATGCTCCTGAAACCGGCTAAGTAATTTTCGAGTGACTGTTCTGACCTAGGAGCATAATTTTGGGCCCGAAACGGTCAGCCAGATAGCCGACAAAGAGGACGGAGACGAGGCTACTGTAGAAGGTCGAGGAGAAAAAGAAGGGGCTTCGCATCGATGGGGACCAGTCGAGGGTTCCCTAGAAAACAAAGTATGTTACTTGTGCATTAAAAACCATGTACCTGATAACCCATTTCCTGGGCTGCTGCCGAATCTTCAACGATTCTTCCACATCTCGCGGTAGGTTCAAAATTATCGAGGTGAGATGATGACGAATTTTGGACGGCTATCGTCGTGTTGACCTGTAAAAAAGGTGCAGGTATTTTAGGTAACAGACGATTTAATCCAGGCTTGACGTTGCCTTTTCTTATCGACAACCAAACCAAGTAATTTGCCCTATTAAAAATTTAGGAAATTGCCGAATTGGACGTCAGCTGTGTCCAGTAGCTTGGAGGAAAATACAGATTCCGATTACGCACCATGCACGGTATCGCCATGCTCAGGATCTGCTTCATCGACCAATTGGCCCACAATCCAAATGTTAACAAAAACCCAAACCATAGCCGAAAAGAACGGATCGAGAATAGGGGTGGGCGATCGCAAGTCTCCATCCTGTAGGCCGCCCGAAAATTTTTGAGCGGGCAACCGGCACCCCCCTGGGTTCACCAGCCACACCGTTTTGCATAAGTGATGGCGCGACCCTAGCGTTTTTTGATGTGCGGTGAACCCTGGTGCTTTTATGATCGTGTATTTTGTGGTAGTTCTAGTGGAGTTAGGAAGATCGTGAAAAAGTTAACAACGATTCTAGCCTAAGAAGCCCTATAAATCGGGTATTTTCGATGGAAGGCAACAGATTTGAGCAATTGTAAAAAATTTTAGGCATGTCGATGCACGTAATTTTCTGAAAATTTCCAAAATTTCAAACTTTTGGGAGTGAGCTTGTTTTCTAGAGGAGCTTTTTCTGAATGAGATTCACTAGTGGCTTTTTTCTAAAATCGGTTCGAAGCTTTTCTTCCGTCCCCTTGTCAGCTGGTCCGATCCTGTTTACACCTGATTAAATAAGCAATAAAACGCCTATTTCTGAGCGCTGCCAAAAAAATACGTCAAGCATTTATTGGGCATATTTCTCCCCTTCGATGATTCCAAGTGGCTTATAATGCGGCGAAAATAACCAGCCTGTCGCGAACATACGATAATTTTTCAATGAATCTCCAAATTCAGCTCTTGCTCGTTATTTGCTTTTTCGGCCACCTGAAATTGGTACATGGTCTGCACCGAAATCAGAAGATTTTGAATGGCCAAATCGCCTCAGACATGAAGGAGTTTCCATTCATTGTGGCGCTAGTGGTACAGGACGACAACCAAAACGTAGAGGAACATCTATGTTATTGTTGGAAACATCCGTGATTAGTGACGGAATTCAGCCGGTATGCGGCGGGTCCATTGTGGCTGCGGATTGGGTGTTGACGGCTGCGCATTGCTTGGAAGATCAGTAAGTTGGATTTTGGACGCGTAACGTCTGCGTCACGTTTCCGTAGTGGAGGCGTTGCGTTTTGCTTTATCCGTCCGTTGACTTTTGAGTTAAGTTAGTATAGTGGGTTAGCACGTTTCTGATAGTTTCGTCTTTGGTTAGGCTTGCGTCGCGGATGCGGTGCGTTGCGGATGTGGAAAACCGCACTGTGAAAGTGCCGCTATAAACGTTGCGTGTGTGTGGCATACGCGTCGCAGCTACGTCGCGTCTATAGCCTGGAACCTACAAAATTTAGCTCGCCCCTCAATATGAGCATAATCGCGGGCGTCGACAATATTCGCCGCCGCGCTATGCAACGGGTAATGCGGCTGCGAACAAGAATATATAGCTTGTTCATAGCAAATAATCGAGGTCGAACGTTACTACATCCACTCCGGCTACCGTACCGAGCGCTACAACGTCTCCGACGGCCGCATGAACTATTGGCTGGATGATGTTGCGTTGGTCAAGGTAAATTTTTTGGTATCAACTTTGCATACAGCGAAGTCTCTGACGTCCATAAACCTTACAACTACCTTCTTAGTTAAAAACCCAATCGCCCTCCGAGCTCATCAGGCCAAGCCAACAATCTTGGTGAAGCCGAACAATTACACGGAAGTGGCTGGGGTGCAAGGCATCGTGATGGGATGGGGACAGCTGGGTCCATTAGGTAATCTTTAAAGCAACATTGTAGCCTTTGCTTGATATTCGGAAGCAGCGATCTTCAATTTTACGCACTGATCAGGACCCTTCGACTCTCCTGACCTTCGCCATACCACCGTCAACATTTATTCACGAGCGGGATGTAGAGCAATTCGTGGCGGTGCTGCTAGGAAGCTTATCTGCGCCTCGATGCCAGATACAGGACCTTGTAAGGTAAGTACAGCATGCCCCACTGGGTGTCCCAAAAAGGCTCCTCCGCATTTGGTCCTATTACATCCAATCCGTCCCAAAATTGGACCGGAGGGATATCAGACCCTAAACCACAGCCCGGAGTTACAGTCTGATTGATACAGCGGTTCTCGAGTCATAGCTAAAATACATTTCTGCCGCGATTCTACAGTTTTTTTGAGCTCTTTGGGACTTTGGTCAATTTGCATGAACTTCCGGGCGGGGTGGCCGTGAGTTACAAAAATTGTGGACAGCAGCTGTTATTTTCGTTTTGTCGAGAAAAACTTCTTAAAGATAAAGAAAGCTTGCCGCATCAGTTCCACTCAATATTGTATGGTCGATTCTTAAATAACACGTAAAACAGGGTTTATTTTTGCCCTAACTCGAGACCCATTTGAGGGATATGGCTATAAGTCAGGATTGTGGTTATTTGGGGTCTGATACACCGCTCGTCCAATTTTTTGGGCCCGATCGGATGTAATACGACGAAACGCCTACCGGGGCCTTTTTCTGGGACACCCTGGATGTCTACGATACGCGGCAGATCCGGAATATTTTTATCCCATCGAATTTACCACCTTGCCGATCTTATCTGGCCAAATTACTAAATACTACCTTTTGATTTCAGGGCGATTCTGGAGGGCCCTGGTCGTCTCCGTTCTGTCACGCTTCCATAAAAGCATCTCGTCCAAATCGGCATCGTCAACTCGGGCCCAAAGCTCTGTAGATATCACAGGAACGCGGGTAGTTCTGGATTTTATATTTAGTTGCGTAAAGCCCGTAAGATAACGCACGTCTTGAAAATATCCGTTGCTCAGTGCCTTATTTAATTGACACCCTTTAGCCCACCTATATGGACGCTGCCTACTACTGTGATTGGATCGAGCGGACGACTAGAATTATCTCGCTTTGCCGAGATATCACCGCCTTATGATAAAAATACAAAAATACGGCATTTTTCGTTTACAATAGCGCAAAAGAATCCGATTTTCCAAAGCCGCGTCGTTGAAAAGCGGGGGCGCCCCGAGCTAGCTATTTACACGTGACTTGTGTAGGTTATCGTGCGGAACGACCGCTCAAAGTCCTCGTTGGACCAACTAGCAGATCTGCAGCTGTTTGGATATGAGCGAGTCTATTTTGGTCTCATATTAGTGTCGCCCGCACCGGAAATGAAGGGCGGGTGAAATGCAATAAAAACCCGGGGTATAGATTTATGCAAATAGAACAGGGATTTCACAGCTGTGGGACCTTTATTTCATTGTATTTTCAGAGCTATGTCAAAGAAAAACTGTCACTCCATGTATTTCTTGCTTATCCTGTTGGCCACTGGAGTGATAAGCATCACGAGAAATCTAAAGATTGTCAATGGGACTTCGACGATCCGGATAAAAACTATTCGTTTGCCGTGGCTCTTGTGCAAAAGGATATCGTGAAGTTAGGGAATTGAAAATTTACAACTGATCAAAATCCAGTGGTGGCTTGACGCAGTTTTGCGGGGGTACAATCTTGGCCCCATACTGGGTGCTGACAGCGCCCATTGCGTGAGCGCCATGTGAGTTTGCACGATAGAGCTACGGCTGCTGTATTGCCGTAATTCTAACTCCTTTAGAGGCGCACCCGATATGGCCGTGGTAGCAGGCGTCAGCCACATCTATTTAGAATCGCCACTACGGGTAAGATTCATATAAATGCGCATGATATCGGCGGTATCGCAAAAACCCCCTCTTTTCGTTATACAAAATTTTTAGCCCGCTGTCGATATTAAACAATTTTTCAAAACGCGTAAAATCAGTGTCGTCTTGTTAGCTCTAGCAATCAATTTACAGGCGGATTTTACATAAAATCTACAGTTTTCATCGGTGTTGGCCCTAAAATTCGTGAAGTAAAATGCCGATGTTGAAAAACGGAAGGTGTTTGTTTTCTCGCCTTTCCGGGTGTTCTATAGGTACCTAAACCGTCAAAATCGGACGATTCTGCAGCCCGCTAGAGGGCGGTCGAATTTTTGGGAGCGCCTTTTACGTGCCTTGTTTGGTATCGTACCTACGTGCACCTCGTGCTGTTTGCGTATCCCATAATCCAAGATCTGCTTTGCAGCAAGTCATCAACGTGACCTATTATAAGCCACACCAAGCCTATCCGAACCTTTCGATACGTCACCGAGCGCGGCGAAATGAACTACACTTATGCTGACGTGGCAGTATTAAAGGTTTCAGTTTTTGATGCATAAAATATTGGGCCGGAGAGGAGGGACGCGAAAGGGCTGCCGAAACTTAAGAAATTGATTACAACCAATGTTCCTGTGGATCTGCACAAAAAAAACCTATCGTGTTTCGGCGCGAAAACGGCATCCTGATAGACCAGAGTCCTAATTTGAGCTGTGCAGTTGTGCCGACGCCTGGACATACAGGGTGTCCCAAAAAAACGACCCATCTGGCATTTCGCCGTGTTACATCCAATCGGCCCAAATTTGGATCAGAGGTGTATCATACCCCAAATAACAGCAATCCAGAGTTATAGCCCTGTAGCTTTTCGTGGTTCTCGGTTATACACGCGAAATACTGTTTTCCCGGAATTCTGAACGGCTTTTCGGCTATCTTTTTGGACTTTGCATCGATTTGCATCGACGTCTGGCTGTGAATCCCTAATTTCGCTTAAGAACTCGGAGATTTTGCGTCGTAGAAATCGCTTAAATCAAAGTTTATTTAATCTATTTACGCTCTTTCTTTCCCTTTCACATCATATGCGTCTTCCCTGGAAAAAATTTTTTGGAGTAAGAAGGCCCTACCGGATCATTTCGCTTAATGTTTAGGGGAATCCACGAAAACCCCATGAAAAATGAAAAATAAGGGTTTGTTTCCGCTATAACTCGAGAACTACTATAGCTACAGGGCTATAAGTCAGGATTCTTGTTATTTAGGCCCTGATACACCGCTGGTCAAATTGGAGCCGTATTGGGATTGTAACTTTACGGCGAATGCCTATGCTGGGTCGTTTTGGGACACCTTGTATTGACACCCTACTTTTTGCTATTCTCCTAATTGACGGCTTTAGTTGGGGCCGCCGATCCAGCTGAGTGCTGGCCGGGCAACACCAACG